ACACAATGGGCATACAGGAGAGGGTGTCCAGAGAGCCAGGAGCCTGGAGGAGGAGACGGCAGCTGAGTTCCCGGGCTGGCCAGGCTGGAGAGGGACCGGGACAGACACCCGGCGTGACTCCCCGGAGGAGCAATGGGGACAATGCATGCGAGAGCCCAGAACCTTCACCCCAGCTCACACCTGGCACCAGGTGTCCTCCCTTACAGGTAGAGAGCCCTCGGAAGGGGGTTCGTGTGGGCTGGGCCCTGATCCACGTTGAAGTGGCTACAAATGAGGAGGCTGGACAGGAAAAGCTGCAGATGGGGACCTGTTATCCAGGGAAACAGGGTCGGTTGGGGCCAAGAGAAAGGCCAGACCCAGCAATGAGTTCTCCAGCCCCACAACCTTCACCTAGGCCATGTGGATCACATTAAGGACCCGGATAAGGAGCGGAATATGGGGACTTTCCTAGAAGAAACAGCGAGGAGGCGTGCGTCCTCACAACCACGGGAGGGGAGGCTCGGGCAGGGCCAGGGGAAGGCAGCTGGGCAGGTGGCCCAGAGCCCAAGCCAGGCTGGGGGACCCAGGGGCCGCCCCAGCTCCAGGCCTGGGATGACAAGGCTTGTGAGATTCTAGTACCTGCTGCTCTGCCCGCTCCCCCGGCCCCAACCTGCCCCTCTTCATGGGCCCTCCAGAAGCTTCCCCGCAGGCCGCACCCACTCCCAGGGAGAGGGTCTGCCTTTAGAAAACAGATAAAAACCCTTAAGGAATTTCTATAGAACATACCCACCTTCCTTTTTCGGGCATGTATCTTTGCTTTCTTTCTCCTACACTCTAAGGGTCCCCATGAGACTTGCAACCAGGGGAGCAGCAGGCAGCAGCAGCTCATCCTAAGCTACTCCTCGAACCTGTCTCTAAGGGTCCTTCTTCTGCCTCTATCACTTGTTTCCTGAGTCCACACAGCCTAGCTGGCTCACTTCTTTTCTCCTGCCTCCGTGACCTTCCCTCTAAAAGGCCAGGGCAGCTCTCTGGGCAGCCGGCTCAAATCTTTTTTTTTTTTTTTTGAGTGGACTTTTGTGCGTGCTAAATAAACTTCCTCTTGTGTTGGGGTTCTTGGGTCTGAATCCTTTCTTTGACGAACTCAAAACTGAGAGTCGACATCGTTGATAACACCTCTATTTCCTGGCCTCGATTCTCCTCATATAGTTCAATGAAAGACCTGTAAGCGAGCTCAGAAGTGGCCAGGACTGTAACAGCAAGAATTAGAATTGGGAGTCAAACGGGGTGGGGCTCCATCCCAGCCTGCGGTTTGTTGATGAGCTGTGGGAGCTCACGGGGGATTCCTGTGTCTGATCCCCGTTTGCCAACATGTAAAACATCTGAAGCAAC